ATATGCAGATTCAAACTTATGCACCTACGGCCAAAAAATTTTTAACATCATATAGTTTGTGATAGAATTCGTAGAACTAACACCTGTATAGGAATGTTGTGGTTCACTGAGGAAATCGTTGATTAAACCTTCCGAGAATAGCGAGTGCCAGGCCAATTAGGTGATTTGTCAAAAGGACAAGAGGATACAATATGAAAAATAACCCCTACTTTACTAGTGGTTTGCGGCGTAATTAAAGAAAACATTGGCTCGTCAGGGAGGGTGCAATTACGACCATAATAAGCGTGTGGGCGATCTGCATAACAAGCGGAAACAAAAGGATTGTCGGGTGTTATCTCGTTAGTCTGGGGCCATTACCTGGAGCGGTCGCCTCGTTCGGCGGCCCTCATTTGCCCAGTGCAGTCGTGCGGCCCTCCCCGCATTTCTGGTATGACCGATCGCGAATCTCTTCCGTTCCAGTTATATTTAAATTTTTTTACAGAATCGATTTATATTTGTTAATGGCGTAAGAAGAAAATATTTACATTAGTATTTAAACTTTGTATCGGGACGAGGATACTAAATTAAGTATCGAGTTGGGTGTTACCTTTTGAAGTTTTGATATGCCTTAATTAGGAACTTTTTTTATGAGACCAAGTGACGGGACGAACAAGTTGTGCGTCTAGTGCTAAACGACGCCTGTCCATAACAGTAGCAGTGCCACTCAGTGCTTCAAATTGCAAAGATCTAAGGGGCACTGCCACTCCGCTCATCACTCTGATACATAAGTTGACAAGTCCCACGTGCCTGTAATTTCACCAGCACGCTTACCCTTTCCGCTTGGCGGCAGAAATAGGTAAGGTGGCAGTACTTCCCTGGATGAACTCTTCCACAAGGAGCTCTACTGCTACTAAACTGTTGTTTATAAAAAAACAATAAAAAAACACACATTTACAGACCAAACACATGAACCATATAATATGCACGAATAGTTAAACAATAAACAGTAATGTGGATAAAAATGATGAAGACTCAGCATTGCTGATTTTCAATCTACACCTATAGCTATTGGCTTGCTGCACCAGATCGGCAAGCGGAGTGTGTGCTGAACACCAAATATACAGAGGATATCTGTGTTGCACTTTTTGTAGTAGGTGAATTAAAATATTACAATTTTTATATAGTTGCTTGGACCACTAGTTACTCGATTTCTGCAAACACAGGCGCCATTGCCTACACAATTTTTAAATACAGCATTTTGGCATTTTTTACCGGAGGCGGTATCTGAGCTGTACATGAATTTAGTTGCTTACAAAGCGCATTCCACGTCAAACCGAAAACATTTTAAATTGATGATTTTGTTTTTTTTTTTTTTTTCAATTTAATACACATAAAAAATGGAAGTGATATTCACGAAAACAAAGTCAATAAACTTTTTTAAATAATCTTTGTTATTACGTTTATTGAATATCACATTTGAATATGATATGCAATTATTTTTTGTGAAAAGACTCCACTAGTTTGTTATAATTATAAATAAACAGTTCGACACTACGAACCAGCGCCTTCCGCATACCACGCCTGACGCTCTCCCAACTGAGCTAATCTTTGGTATTATATGGTTTCCAGTGAAGTTCGATCGACCGTTACCTGTATAAAATTTTTTGTACACCATATTTTCCTTGAAAATTCTGTTAATTTTTGTATGAGATTGCTGTGTGCAAAAAACCAAAATACACGTAATTCATTCATTTATGTGTTCCGCGTTTTTCGTTTTACCTATCGTCTCTGTAAAAGTACTCTGCGACATGTTAACCTATTAATAATTCAAGATCTTCAAAATCGATCTTTTAATAATTTTTTTTGTACGACTAATGTATTCGACAATACAGTTGTTATAATGTTCGCTCGAGGGAAGTGTTATGTGATTTCAATCGTGCGTATTTTCTTAAAAAAGTCGAAATCGCAAATTTTTATCGCGAACATGACTTCCATTATTTAGTGTACAGAATGCATCTCCAAAATAAAAAAATCGGAATCATAGATTAAAAAGTGATTGGTTTGAATAAGCGACATACGGTATCTACAGCAGTAATCTAAACTTTGAGCATATTTGAAAGGTGAAAATTTGGATTGAAATTGTGGCATATATTTTCCAAATTCGGCTAGACGACAATGAATCATACCTATGAACGAGAGATTTATTTATTACCATCCGCCAAGAGCTATGTACGTTTAAACGCGTACGCTATCTGTTTACTGTTAAAATTTCAGCACGAACTCGTTAAAGTATTCATATTTACTTACGTTTTGTTGCATAAAAAGCTATTACCAAAGTAGTTAATTTTGCATACAAAGGCTGAGTATACTTGGTCCAACCATTTTACATCTAAATGCAACTAATGATCTATGAAATTACAAAACATTGATTTATTATACAATGCTGCATACTATAAAAGATTCGTAGAGCACATTATTGCACAATGAGGCCTCTTGGCAAAGGCTGAGATTCGTTATTTTTGCCAACTTTGAAACGAGTAATCCGCTTTAATATTTTCATGTACAGTCAGCATCTCAACCTAACCAAAACATTGAAATTAGTTATTTTGTTTACAAGTTCAGAATGCTTATAGAATCAGTACATTTCACCAAACAGTCATGTGTTAATTATATTTGAAATTTACTTACGAAGTGAATTTGGAAACACCTGAAAGTAAACATATTTCAGAAAAACAACCTTATTGTTGCTACATTTAAAGTTGAAACTGAAAACAAATTAAAAGTGCGTAAAATCGCTCGACGTATAACGTTGATCGTTATCAAATGTGAACTAAATTACTACAGTTCGAAACATTCTGATGCCGACTGTACAGTCAACTGTACTGTACAGGCTGAATTGTCAAAGAATTACAGACAGGACAACAAGAAAGATTAACGAACGACGATAGTCAACGACAAGCAATGGAAAATGTTCAAAATTGTCTACGACTGAGAGGTGCCAATATTTAACGGTTATGAATATGCTCTAGAGGCACCCACGCGTGCAGACTACACGACAAATCGCCAAGGTTGGCTTCAATGATACGGCGCGCCAGCGGAATTTTCAGTGAAATAGTTTCACCATCAAGCGGCGGTGGCGGTGGCGGCAATGGCGATGCTGGCGGCGGCGGCAGCACACTGTAGGCAACGTCTGTAGCGGCGCGGGTCAACGCCCGGAGGCCCGCCACGCGATTTGGCTCGACTCGACGCGACTGCAAATGAACCATCCTCGCCAATACACTCATTTCGCGACTCGGCTCTGCGAGCTTCTTTGATAAACCGCACTTCCGCCTCGACACCTCGTTGCACTCCGATGACTTTAGGCATTAATCGTAATTTTTAATTATGACTGTATCTTTGACAAACTTATCTTTAACATCAAGTTAGTTAAGCATTAGGAAAATTTTAACTGGTCAATAAAATTTAAAATAAATTTAATAAGTAGAAAAAAAAAACATGTTCGCCACAAAGTGTAATTAAATCAGAACGGAAAATCTGTCGAAGACTTAAGTGTCTTTGCCTGTCATTTAGGGCCAACGGAGTTTTAAAAAAATCAAATAAGAGATATAGTTAAATAATGAAAAACTTTTGTAGCCGGAATCGAGAGCATGCCAACAAGGTAAGTAGGCGTGTGACGGCTCATGCCAAACATTCGATGTGACGAGACTTGACAATTCTCTACGGCTTTTATGTATGTTAGACAAAAAACGGCGATATTTATACCCCGAGAAATATAAAATGTAGTTCAGAGACCAGGCAGCGATGAGTAATGAGTCTAAAATAATATGAAAGGAAATGCTGAAGACCTGGTTAAATAAAATATAAGAATTAGGTAGATATGTAGGTAAGTTATAAAACACTAATAAACTATTTAGAAAACACGAAAAACACTACCACAAATTAATTAAAAGGGTTTCTTTATGGTTAAGGCTATAACTAACCTTGTAATGTATATCCACTTAAAAACTACATCATCAAAGAGTTTCTAATGCATGATCAATAAACTTGCGGCAATTATGATTGGTATGCAGCAACCGGCGCTAGCGCAGCGGGTCAAATGCTAGCTAGAGATATCCATGGCTCTGCGGCGTGGCTAGCTGCATCCCGCTCGCGCCCGCGCTAACTTATCAATGAAATTCCTGCACCACCGCCGCTCAAACGGTGCCTCGCGTTCCTTGTTGACGTAACAAAATGGCCGCCGACACACATACCGACCCGCTACAAAATTTATATAAATTTCCTTATAGGACCTCTTTTCAAATAACTCAATTTGTAGTAAAGTTGAGATGATAATACAAGAATCTCAGTAGTTCCACTATTAATGCAACGTAACAGTAATCAATTGAAACTATTTAAACATTCTAACTTTCAAAGTCATTTCGAAAATGGCAAACATGTAGCCGACCCATTTTGTGCATTTTAAGTAGCGCTGAGCATTCTTTCAAGTTATATGAGTAAGCACAAATTAAATCGTGAAGCATACTCATTTGAAGAAATTCATGTCATTAACGACATCTGTGAAGTTCTCTTCTTACTGACAAGTTTCCTCTATCTAAAAACGATAAATAAGTACTACTCCTTACCGCTAGGTGGCACGAGAGTAAAGCTAGTAAAATCAGTTCTAATACATCCCCACAGCCGGTAGATGGGGTATACAAGATATACCTTGAGCAATAAGTATAGTACAAGTTGAGTCGTGCGTTCTCGATAGATGGCAGTGTAAATAATATAATTTGAGCGTTTTGTAATGGGAAGTCTACATAACATATCAATTCCAAACACCTTGTCTTTGGATTTTTTCTGAGCGTTTTTGGCTTCTGAGGACAAAGGGATAAAACCTCATCGTTGGGTATAAATACCAAGAAAATTGTAAGTAAAATCTTGAGTGTAAAATAGTGCGGTGTTTGACAGCCATACAAGCTTATTATGAAATCGGATCAATGGGATTAAAATATGTATTGACTTTTATGTGTTTCACTGACCTGGCGCTTTGGAACGATGCTTTATTGGAGGAGGCGGCGGCACCGAACGAAACGCCGACGGCCAGTCCCTCAGGTATGTTGTGGACTGTGATGGCCACCACTAGCAGCATGATTCTCTTCCACTGCGACTGCCGCGCGGCGAGCGATAACGCCACGCTGTCGCGGCGATCGCCGTCACCGTTCTCTCCACCTTTCTGAAAAATACACAAATAAATATATTAATAATTCTACATATGAGAGGTACAGAACCTTAGCAAATTCGCAAATGTGGGGCGTTCGGCGATACTTTAAGGTTCACATTGAGTGTGGGCTGTCATGTGCAGCGTGCACGCAACTAGTTTTTGCTAGAGCGAGGCTTTTTTAAATAATATCAAGTGATAGGACGAACAAGTCGCGCCTGGAGGACGGTAAGCGACACGCCTATCTATAACAGTAGAGCCGACACGACAGGCCGCGACTTGCGCGAGAGCGACATAAAGAACGAGAACTCTATGCGAGAATAGCAGTGTCTCGCGCTCTATGTCGCTCTAGCGCCATTCGCTAGCCCCACAGTGCCACTCAATGCTTTAAATCCGTAAGTAATGTTTAAATCACAAAGATTTGACGAGTACTGCCACTGCGCCCCTCATCCTGAGACATAAGTTGACAAGTCCCATGTGCGTGTAATTTCACCAGCACCCTTACCCTCCAAAACCGTAACGCAATAATGTCGGCAACTGAATGCACATTACTGCTTGGCGGGAGAAATAGGTAAGGTGGCAGTACTTTCCTGGATGAACTCTTTCACAAGGAGCTAGTACAGCTAGTACTAATAATAATGTTAATTAGTGACCATTTGCTTTCACATTTAATTTGTGAATGTAATTGTTCTGGAATAAGTAGTATCGTGTCATAATGTCGTTCGCAATGATAATAAAAGAAGTGCAAACGCGGCCAGAGACATGGATTTCAAATCATTACTTTCAAATCATCATTCATTACAAAAATAAGTCATGTCGTGGAGTCAGTTCTTTCATGAAACAAGTTATTTCTTAAAAGCGTTGTCTTCTAAGTATCTTCCCATTTTATGTTATAAACACTCCTCTATAATTGCAATTTGTATGAAGTGAATTCAGTGTCTTTTATTTATTAACAAATGAACCATATTATTTTGTAAAATGAACATTCATATGGAAATCATTAATGGAAACAAAATATCTGAATTATAATGCAACTTAACGCAACACACTCATAGCCCAGCACTAGGGAAACCCTGTATCGCGGGTGCCACGGACACACACAGTACACAACCCAAAGTCACGAGAGAAATAAATGTAGGTCATACACATATTTCTCCCGGCCTAGGAATCGAACCCAAGACCTCTGCGTGGCAGTCCGGCATGGTAACCGTTCGGCCACAGAGGCAGTTCTATTGTTATTATATGCTTGATATTTTTACGCACATACAAAAGTCTATATAATCGCAGTAAAAGTTAATGTGTCCGACATATCGGAATCATATCTATCTATAATCATATCATAGATATAGGAAAAATATATCTATGATCGGAACTTACCCTAATGACGCAAAGCTAAAATATCATTAAATAACTTCAATATTCTAAAACTGGGTTATAGTTCTTTTATGATACCTCACAAAATTATTTTGTCACATAGCCGCGTTTTAGTTTGCTGACGGCAGAGTTATTCACATAGCACAGGACTTATTTAGTTTGAGCTCCTGTCTCCCATATCTAAACTCTAAACGTTCAATGATGTACTTGTATTTTGTACTTGATGGGATATAATAAATGATATTATAATTATGCTTCATTTGTTATTGGCGGTGGAAGATGAAGGTTAAGGCTAACGACACTTAAATCACGCAGGCTACACGGAAAAAGGTCACTTTATACAGAACTAAGGTAACTATGTCACAAAAAGGGTAGTTACCTGCACCTGCGCATGTATGTATTTACGGGTGTTCATTTGTTCCCTCACAGAGACTAAACTATTGGGGTGCCAAACAGTCGGTGCGGTAGCAATGCTTAAATGAATAACCTAACCTCCGGTTAAAAAACCAACCTCAAAAGTCATTAATCCCCTAGTTTGCCACCCTTAGAGGTGGAATATTTTCTTGAAATTTAAATAAATAAAATATAAGAAGTAAAGTACCAACAAAAAAGATTCATCAAAAATTGGTTCACAAATGGCGGAGTTATCGCGTAACATACGTACAAAAAAAAAAGACATACAGACGAATTGAGAACCTCCTCCTTTTTTTGAAGTCGGTTAAAAATATATAAGAAGCATAACTGTACTATTTTAATAAGTTTATTGATTATCACGATGTTTTACTACTACATCTACTAACTAGTTTGTTATAATTATTAATACAAAAACCAGTATGCTGTTCGATCTTTGTATTATAGTGTAAATATAAGACGACGATATTGAAAACGGTCGATGAGGCAAAGCATTCCAACCTAACTAACTCACTGCAATATTTTTCGACGGCTTTGTAATATATGTTTTAGGCATTATCATGATGATATACTACACCTTTACGATTCAGCGGTTCAGGGCCTTTTTCATAAATAAATAATAAACTTAAAACTTTACAGCCTAGCCTATAGGAAATGAAACTATTTTTCCGGATTTAAATGGCGTATATTTGTTTTTTCAAACAAACCTACGTTTCGGGCCCTTGAGCGTCCCATGGTCACAGTTGCAGCCTATTCTTAAAATGCGCGCGAAAACATTATTTTTATTATTTTTAAAATGACCATAGACAGCACTGAACTAGGATTACGTTACGACTGACAACATAACACTTTAAATGGAAAAAAAATAATTTTTAAGTGGAAATAACCGCACTGACTTTTTGATCAATTTTATTTATTTATTTATTTATTTCAGGCAACTAGGACCCATAGATACTTACCTTACAGACTAACATACATATAATATAACAATAATATAATAAAACAATAACAGACATATTAAATAAATACCTTACGGACTAATCATAAATACAATATAACATGATAATATACATATAACACTATTTATTTACACGAATGTACTTCGACGTGTGACGCAATGTGGGTGTCCGGTAGCCGTCCTCGGAAACGGCGGTACATGACACCCTTCGGCCAAAAGTCTTCTCTCATGAAGGTCGACAGGTGTTGAGTTGGTACTCGCACCACAAATGAATTAAAATTCACATTGTGGCGCGACTCCAACCGCTGGACTCTCAGGTTTGCGTTGGCCTTCACTCGCATGTACTCCACAATATCCGCAGACTTGGTGGAGTAATGAAGACGCGACACGTATAACAACGTCGTCGGTACCCCTGGACGCAATAAATGATTCGGGCTAGTCAGGGCGGTGCCACTAAGGTTTCGGCTGGTCTTCTTCTTTTTCTTTTCCACCTTCCGAAAGCCGTCCTCGTCGCACTGATCAACTCGTCTCGGTGGTACTGACGACGCAGCTCCAGATACGAGTTTCTTTTTTGGTTTTCCCTTCATTGGTTGCCTGAGTTGTGGTTGTGGAGTACTAGGTCGGGCAGCGGCAGCCGATACCGCACTACTAAGTAATACAACTTGGGCACGCAACTCACTGATGGTGTTGTCTGAGGCCTCCAATTTACACTGAACTTCAGCAAGGCTTGCTTTTAGGGACGTGATGTCCTTCAGCAGCCTGGTGACGTCGACGTGGTCGAACGTGACAGGGGGGAGCTTATGCAGCTCCTTCGCTACGAATGCAGGCACGTCGTCTGGGTCGATCTCCTTGAACAACGTAATGATGTCCTGGAGACTCTTCGCTCCTCCATCTCTCCGACGAGAGGGCATCTGCTCGGCTTTGCCAAACGTCCGGAAAAGCAGCGCCTTGTCACTGCAAATCTCTTCTTCTTTGAAATTTGACTTGCAGATCTGCACGATGCTGACTTCGTCCATGGTATCTATGGCGTGTTGTATAAACGCCAACAGTTCGTTGCCTATGAGTTACTGAGAACCCATAGTCAATTACGTGCAGCGGCTATTGCCGCGCGGGTCGCGAATTATTATAATTCTTATTGTGCAGTGGAGCACGTCCGAATCCGAGCGTGTACCGCACCGCACCCACAAAACCACAAACTCAAGCCACACTTAACAACATATAGGGCACATCGTAGAGTTTGTCTGGATTGATCGCGTGTCAAAGTGTAGATACATACGGAAAATGTATTATATATTGTATACTATAGCTTTTTAAATTAATTTTATTAGTTACGCTGTTTTCGTCATTCTATACTCTCATAAACTCGAGAGTCATTATTTTTTTGCATTAGTATGAGCCGATGAGATGTTGAAATTATTAAAATGTTGAGTATCTAAAATGGCTATACAAAAAATAATAGTAGGTAAGTCACTTTAGTAGTGTTTCAGAGGTAATAAGTCTAGATGGGGGCCTCAATTGATCTATTGTAAATGTGCACTATTTGAAATAAACGATTTTTTAAATGTTTAATATTATATATTAATTGTTCATCTATATTAGTTAATCTACGGATACATTATAAAGAACTGCATTCAAGGTAACTCTATCGTTATGTTTAAGCATACTAAATTAATATTTGGTATTCAAAATTAATATTTGATCCTCTTTTTTTAATATTGATATTTTCTTTTAACGATTAATGACATTTATAACCACTATCCTACATAATACATTATACTTCATAATATCTTTTGATATTGATCTTGTAATAAATCTTGGTTGCGCCCTCCATTAAGTAGGGTAATATATGAAAATGCAGAAGCCAATTTGCATGCGTTTCCGAGCAAGTTTTCAGGTCAAATTATATTATAATTAATATAATATTAGTATACTAGTCATAATAATAATAGTATAATGAACTTAAAACTGTTTTAAAAACAATCTTAGTTTTAAGGCTCAATATAGAACTATCAAAGTTAATTTATACAAATCAAATATTTTTTGCCTAGCTCAGACCAGATTAAAATATCCATTGTTTTAATTTATTTTGTATTTGTGAAACCTCTTTCACGGATACAATCCAGGACCAATCTTTAAAAAAGATGCCGTTTAGATTTTTTGCCTGCTGCTTTTGCAAATTTAAAATGATCGTTTAAATATATGCCATTATATTCTTCAAACATAACGGCCGTATTTTGTTTTATATGAACACACCGGCACAATTAGCCGAACAAAATGTGAGAATATAAAATAGTAATGTTCAAATTTATATGAATAATAATTAGACATAAAGAAGCAATTAAAGCAACATCTTTTAAAATCGATTTTAAAATTAACTAAATGCATTTTTTTAAATTTTGTGGCAAAGCAAACTGCTGGAAATTAGAAAATTGTAACAGTTTAACATAACAATTTAAATACATAAAAGACATTTTGAACTAAAATTTATGACATTTACATTAACGCAAATTCAACCTCGAACCACTCGACAAAACCTGTATTAGTAGGAAATTAAAACAAATTCATGACAAAAATGAAGGTCGACTAATTTTTTATTTTCAAATACTGACTGACCAACTGACTTTTGGAATACACGGCATTATTTTGGGCATTTTAAATGTGCCAGTGTATGCAGTTTATTATATTTATTGCGTGTTTTAGTGATGTGTATTATTATCGATATTGCACTTATATGACATGTAAATGTATCATTCAATTACAATATACTAGTAATCCGATATTTAGGCGACCTATTTGTACATTAAAACTCGTCTTCATTAATGGACCAATCATCTAGTTTAAAGAGTATTATGGAATTGTACATGTACCTACACAATACATAATCTGCCGTGACAAGAGACAAAATAATTTTTTGATATATCATAAAAAACCATAACCCACTTTTAGAATATTGAAATTGTTCTGATAAGTCGAACACGTTAACTAATTTTAAATTTGTGCTCTATCTTTTGCTATTTAAAACTAATTTTCGACCAAGTGCAAAGTGACAAACTTTGCCGCGTTTAGTTAGTGGTCGGCAGTAATATTGTCTTGACTTTTACTGCTTGGTTTAAAAAACGGGATTCTTCAGTTTGAATGAAATGTTTAGGTAATGTTTGAATAGTTTCTGTTGAAGTAATTAATCATTTATCGAAATATCTAATGTGTATGTATTCACTTAATTGTATAGTACATACGATAGTAAATGTATATCTATGTGATTTAGCTGTTGGGGTGCATGAATGGAGCTTCCTCGCACGACGTACATACCATTCCATTCCTATACGTCTATAGCTCACCCTAGGTAATAATCGGCGAGTACAATTCACTGATTGGCAAATCCTTTCGCCATTATAGTGTATGCAATCGATACGTGAAAGAGGCTGTAACTTACCAGGGAACCATGAGAATGGTTGTGACCCCGCCGCCGCTGAGCGGTGTGTTGGTTTGATATGCAGTCTGCAAACTCCGAGGGCGGAGGCCCGTCTACCGTGACGACACTAGTTGGGTACGAAGGCCGCTTGTTGAGAGCCGTCATCATCTCCAAGTCTTCTAATTTGTCTTTTGATTCTTTACTCTTGGTCATCGCTGAAAAAATTTAGTTAGTTGAGTATACGATAAAAATAAAAACCATTGGTAATTAAAAAGCTAATTTTCAAGTTAGTTTTATGTACCTAATTTTGGTGGCAATTTTTAACAGACTTCAAAAAAGGAGATGGTTCGCAATTAGATTGTTTGTTTTTTTTGTATGTATGTTACGGAATAACGGCATTTGTGAACCGATTTCGATGATTCTTTTTTGTTGGAAAGAGGGTACCTCTGTAGTGGTCCCATTTAATTTTGAAGAAAATATTCCACCTCTAAGTGTGGCACACTAGGGGATGTATCCGGTTTCGCACACTTTACTCAAGCCCTTCTTCAGAATGAGCTTAGTGAAACAAATGATCCAGTAGAAATAAATCAGACTCCATCCCCGCCACCCACATCATCAACGCAACCAGCTCGGGCATCGTATGCCAGCGTTGCTGCAGGAAAACGTATCTGCTTTTCTACAACAGTTGAAGTTCGACATAGTCAACGGTCAACCAAGACTATTAGAACTCCTACCAGGTCATCCAGAAGAACGGTAGTTTTTTCTGATAAAATAGGCGTAGGACTAGGCCACCACCTAAGTAACCACTTAAAACAAAGGGTAGTCAACTATTACTATCCAGGAGCTACTTTTAGTCAAATTATTACACTGTTAAGTGGTTGCAACTTTGATAAATATACAACAGTGATTCTTATAATAGGTGATAGTAATAACATTAGTAAAAAAGAAGTAAATAGTAGCATTGACGTGTTCTTGAGAATTCATGAGAAGTGTGGGTGTAAATTCATACTAAGTGCATTCCCTTACTGCTCAACCTAGGCATCGCTCGTAATAAGTATATACATAACATAAATTGGCACATTCATAATTTGACTTGCCGTCATAGTGACGTTATATTTTGTTTTGACATTAATAAGCTCGTAAGGAACTTCAAACTTTTTGAGGATAATTTACTTTTACCCATAAGGTATCTGAGACATGTAGCTAGTTTGCTATCATTTAATATTAAGGACGCTGTTATAGAAAATATAACACAGTCCCACGACAATGCTCCTACTTTAAGTAGCAACAGTATACTTTTTACTAACCATAATTTAAACTAAAAAACACGACAACAGAAAAGTCTAATCGTTTCTATGTAGTACATCAAAATATTCAAGGCTTTTCTGGCAAAACATTAGAAATAAGTCTTTTTTTGCACGATATTTCCGTTGACGTGTTTTGTGTTACAGAGCACTGTCTGAAAGATTACGAAGCAATTAACAACATAGAAAATTATGTAATAGTCAGTTCGTTCATAAGAAAGAGTTTAATTAGAGGCGGATCCATGATTATTATTAAACGTAACTTAAAATTTAAAGAGCGTAAGGATATCACAGATCTTTTTACTGAACGAACTATTGAGATTTCATGTGTGGAATTGGATCAGTTTGTCGTCTTATGTGTATACAGGCCCCCCTCTGCTAATTTTAACGAGTTTGAATTAATTATGGAAAACAGTTTAAAGCGGATTTTTCCAACCAAAAGAAACGTAGTAATATGTGGAGATTTCAATGTAAACCTGTTGGAAAACTGTTCTACTTCTGTAAGACTCATTAATTTATTTAAAAGTTTTAACTTGATTAATCTTTTCTTAGAACCAACTCGCATCACTGCCTCCTCTTCTACTTGTATTGATAACATCTTTTGTAACACAGACGCAGTGTCTAAATCAATAATAAATTGCTTAAGATCAGACCATAGTGGCCAATTGGCTTCTTTTAATTGTAAAATGAGCAAGAAGGTAAACCAATTTCTCTGCAGACCGATTACCACAGAACGAATCATTACATTTGAAAATAATATCGGCAATAGTTTAAATTCCCTACCCCATATACCGGAGGTTCCAAATACTTTATATAGCACGATATTTGGTTTAATTAAAAATGAATTTGATAATATATTTAAATCGAAAACATTAACTTTCCATAGAGAGACTAAATTCAACGACTGGACAACAGTAGGTATTCATAAGAGTAGGTCTCGTTTGTATGAGCTATATGCTATGAAAACTTATAATACTAATTCCAATTTCATAGAATATGTTAGAATTTATTCAAAAATATTTAAAAAAGTATGTGTAGCTGCCAAGGTTAAGTTTCACAGCGACAAAATTAGACAATCGATAAATAAATCTAAAACTACTTGGAGCATAATAAACAAAGAGTCAGGCAGGGTTAAACAACACGATAGAGATATAGTTTTAGAATTAAACAGTAAACTTATAAAATCTAAAGTTTATCTATTTATTATAGCCCAAGCTTTTGAATCGCTCTTTTCGGAAATTGCTGTGAACACTACAGAATCATTAAATTCCTCCCCTTCACTTGCTATTGATCTCTTAAAGGAAAATGTTAACGTTTGTGGCAGTTTATTTAATTTCCGTCATGTTAATCCACAAGACATCATAAAAGCTTTCAAATCCATACATGTTAAAAAAACTGAAGATCTCTGGGGCATATCAACTGAAGTTATAGACTCAGTTATTGATCTTATTTCCCCACATTTAGCTGAAGCTTTCAATAGGAGCGTTGACGAAGGTGTTTTTCCCGATTTAATGAAATACAGCAAGGTTATTCCCTTATTCAAAAGCGGTAGGAAAGGTGATCCTAGCAACTATATGCCCATTTCAATTTTACCAGCTTTAAGTAAAATATTCAAAAAGGTTATGCTGACTCAATTACTGTCCTATTTCGGTAGGCATCATATTTTTCATAGTGAACAATACGGGTTTACTAGTGGTAGATCGACTAGCGATGCGGGGGTAGCGTTACTAAAACACATCTTTGATGCCTGGGAAAGGTCCCAGAAAGCTATTGGTACTTTCTGTGACCTCTCAAAGGCATTTGATTGCGTTTATCATATTACTCTTATTAGGAAGCTGGAATATTACGGTGTAAATGGCAAGGCGTCGAAACTTGTCTCGTCATATCTCAACGGTAGAATTCAGAAAGTAGACATAAATGGTGTGACTTCTTTGGGTTCTCCGGTAAAAATGGGCATTCCTCAGGGCTCAATACTAGGGCCTTTCTTATTTCTGATTTATATTAATGATCTGCCATTCTTTGTTCAGGACCATTGCAAAATAGTGTTGTTTGCTGATGACACATCCTTGATTTTTCAAACACACCCTCTCTAAGGTAGTTTATTGATTTAATGCTAACAATTTATTGCTTAATGTCAAGAAGACAAAATGTGTTAAATTTGAATTACCTAACGTAAAATTGACTAGTCCAAGCATAGAAACAAACGGAGAAAAGTTAGACTTTGTTAATAAAGCAGTCTTCTTGGGAGTGACCTTAGATAGTAAACTTTAATGGTTTCCACATATATCTTCCCTGGCCAGCAGGTTAAGCTCCGCTGCATACGCAGTCCGCGGAATACGTGAGCTTACCGATGTTAGTACTGCTAGACTAGTTTACTTTAGTTACTTCCATAGTATAATGTCCTACGGGATTCTCATGTGGGGTAAAGCGGCAGATATTCAAACCATATTTGTATTGCAAAAACGAGCGATTCGTTCTGTGTACCGTCTAGGCTCTTGGGTTTCTCTCAGGGAAAAGTTTAAAGAGACTGGTATCATGACGGTGGCATCACAGTACATTTACTCAAATATATGCTCGTAAAAATATACATAATTTCAATAAGAAAGAAGATATCCATAATATTAACCTTAGAGCTAAGTCCAAACTCATGGTACCACGATTTCGTTTAACCAAGGTAAACAACTCTTTTATGAGGAACTGTATACTTTTTTACAATAAGATTCCGGAGCATATATTAAGTTTATCATTTCCTAAGTTTAAAAACTACATTAAAAATATTTTGATCGAAAAATCATATTACAAAATTGAAGACTACGTGTTAGATAAAGATGTATGGAAAGACGACATGGCTCCAGAATCCACAGAAATTTGATTCAAAGTGTATTTCATAGCATTTAAGTTTATTTGAAAAGACCAATCCCTAGAGTTTCTTGCTCGTTCTTCTCAGAGAGGTCAGCGTAGTGAACGAGCAGTAGCTTAAATGTGACGATTTCAAGTGTAAATTTATTTTACCTATGGAATAAATAATCTTTGACTTTGACTTTCCGGTAACTGATGGCAATAAAACTTGGCAAATAGATGTGTAATTCCACGAACTTTTAAGGTCGGTTTTGTTAGTACTCTGTACCGAGATTATTATTATTTAAATATTCTAGAATATTATCATGAAGTACAATTTAATACTCGAGTGTACTAACCTGAAATATTATCTAATATTTCATGATAATATAAAATTGCCACTGATATCTAACCTGAAAATTACCGTAATACGACATTATCGTAATAATATTATTGTGTAATTTATTTGCCTATGTTTTGTAAAATGATTAAACTGATGATTTCGGGGGCCTAAGCGCCCAGTTACACGAGCAGACTTTGTACATTAACGGCGGATCTGAATTCTATTTACTAGGCAACCACATTTAAATTCCTTTGAATAATACAACCGCGCTGCCGCCGCCCGGCTTGCACCCGGCCGACGGAAGGTCCTGGGCTAAATTCCAGCTAGGACCGTTCTGAGAAATAAACTTTTCAATTATAAATTGATTCTGATCTTGGTGTTCCGGGTAAAGCCCAGCAGTGAATTCCGTTGCTCTGGTACTTATAGTACAGGGAATTCTGTAGTTTGAAACCAGGTGATTGGATGTGGTTGCAGGCACATTATTATTATTTTTTTTATTTATTGAACAAATTCAGATTCGTGCTACATATACTTTTAATGTCGATTAGTATACATAAAGTGACGCCTTTCTTCGTTACTCATTACTACTATGATTCGTTTTCTATTGATTACCTTTCTAGCATCCTTGACTTTTTAATTATTATTATAAATGTTAGTTTGTATGTTGAGTTTGAGGACAGAAAGAAAGATTGCAATTTATGATGAATGTGTATCCATTAACTGTACGTGTGCGTACACATACATAAATATGTGCGGCAGAAATTTACTAATAAGTAAAGTATAATCAAAATTCCGAGACCGACGAAGTTGATCTATTAAGATAACATTTAATATTGTAATGCATGAAGAAATCTGTTTACATAAGTACGCCGCATAAGGGTACTTACTATAAGTAACATAATGCCCTTCATTGTCAATATTGATAAAATGAGCATATGTTACGAGCCGCGGTAGCTATCACTAGACATAGATAAGATAGAAATCGTGAACGTGAAGCTCAGTTCTGCAATTAAATATGAAAACAAAAATGTTTAATTGTGATCCAAGGAGATAAAATCATATAACAACACGTTCTTAAATAAATATTCAGTACTTCCTTAACCATAAAGTGTAGCATTGAAGTGAAATCAAGGTATGTATGTACTTAAATTCCAAAATATGTCACAGTGTATTACAAATTAGTAATAGTTACGTTAGTGCTGGCATAATTCTAGTTACTCAGCTATAATTAAATGTACAGTTTATGCAAATTTTATCGCAACTTGCACTGGAATTGAATCATCAGTGTTGTTAGAAACTGAACAAGCTATTTTGTCTTTTGTAGAAATGTATATTATAACTCAAACATTTTTCAGTCGACGATGTACATTTTTGTTTATAATTTTGACGTACCAATACCTACCAACAAATGGACGTTGGGTTCGCGCTAAAAAGTGTCCGCACCTATAGCGCGTTAAAATTGCATACAAAGCGTCCATCGCGCAACAGTCTTCGTTTGTTCGACTGACAGCGCGGTTGTGAGTTATGCAGTACTGTATAATAATAACTTGTAAAAATGACTGCAGTACAGTGTAACAGGATTTTTTATCATATTATTATTTTCACTAAACAAATATATTGTATTATCATAGTTACTATTTAAAAGTGTTATTTTGTACAGTTGTATAGTATTTAATTTATACACAAATGAATCGTAAATATAAATTACAAGAGCAAACAAAATGATCAAATAGCTAACTGTCCTTTTTCTAGACATTGCATGCGTAAAAGATGGAAAGAGACCCATTACGTCAATTTCAAGAAGCTTATATAAACTTCTTGGTCATTTTCAATTGTTCGAACCACACGTGATTGAAATTTTTAGAACAAAGAAAGTATAGAATCGCTATGAGTTTTAATCTTATTTTTATAATGATTTTTTTATTAAAAATTAGCAATAACTAACAAAATATTGTTGTTCTACGGGTTTTTGCGGCTACTCGTTTTACGGCTTGAATTACCTACCAGAAGTCAGAAAATACATTTGCCCGAAATAACGTTAGCTCGAATTTTCATAATGTCAAATGTAAAAAAAAACATATTCTTATTCTTATTTTTTTAGGAATATTAGGAATCAAAAGCTAATTTTGTCTTTGTGAAAAGCATCAAAATTACTTGAAATCGTAACGGTTTTATTATTAATCGGTTTTCGGAATTACGAATATTTGAGTTCACGTTTAGTTGGAATATCGGTACATTTCTTATAGTACACGTTTATTTTCACATTTGGACATAGTTATGCAAACAAGAACCAACCCACATCTCGAGTGAAATTGAGTATTTACGTATTTACGTAGAACACCAGACGTGTCCTTTACCCTCTCACAAAAGATCCTGGCAATATACCAAGCCAAAACGGAGAAAATAAAAGTCCTTCAAGGTACCAATCTTAAATAAGTAACTTTTAAATGCTAAAAAGCACCATGCTGCTTAACTTCATAATGTATTTTTTTAAATATGCTAAATAGAGCCATGTCACATGTACTGAAGTACTGTAGATCTTTAGCGTTCTCATTACGAAAACTAGAACATAGTTCTCGTTAACGAAATAAAAAGATCTATAATGTTTTCTATTTATTGCTGTATTATATAATAGTTTCCCTATATCATTCTCAATGCTACACATAACTCACGTTGTTTGTCTCAAATAACTTACCTATTTATTAATTCACACTGTTTTTACAAAACTCTAATTAGGTCGAAAGTGACATTTTGTGGGTTTGTTCTAGTTAGCATAACTATGTCCATTTGCAATATTTGTTTGTTTGTATGTATTCAAATATGTATTTATCCATACAGTCTATTCTTGAAATATAGAGAATTTAGGCTGTAAAACATAACCAATCACTTTAAAACGAACTGGTTATAAACTGTATGTCATTAATACAACACAAGGTGTATTTACATCAACTCCATCTGTAGTGAAGAGAATGGACAAATGAATACTCACTCATCATCATATTTGCTGAATTAATTCCTAAATAATCTAAGAATTTGTCTGTTCCAAAGACAAATACGGCTCCAAAGAGGAACCCTGCTGCCACTGGTACAAATGCAAACTGTCCTTCTGAGCCATAGACATGTGATTCTTTGCACATTTCTATTGCAGGCTCCAATAGCGACCAGTATGATGCTGCAGTCATCACCCCCGCAGCGAAACCCAGGGACACATCTAGTAGTTTTCTCTGAAATGAATTAAGTTCAATATATATTGTTACAGAACAAAAAATTTTTTTTTAAAACAATATGTTCACTTAATTACTAGTTATTCATAAAAATTCTAACTGCATTGCTCATGTTTTAAAGTTTCATATAGCTTAAAACAACAATACGAAAGTAATATAATATTAAAGGCGTAATTTTGTGTATTTTGCAGACCAATTCCCAATGTTACATTGTGCACACAAGTTAAAAGTTTAAGTCACATTTTATATTGCTCATTTAATAATAGCATCTCCCTAGAATACACTTATTATTATTTAACTTAACTGTGGCCGAACGGTTACTATGCCAACCTGTCTTAGCAGCAGAGGTCCCAGGTTCGATTCCCGGGCGGGGAGAAATATTTGTATGACCTACATTTATTTCTCTCGTGAGTTTGGGTGTAATTTGTGGTTGTCTATGTGTGTGTCAATGGCACCCACGATACAGGGTTTCCCTAGTGCGGGGTTATGTTGAGTGTGTGCATTATTATATTATATTAAAATCATAGGCAAATTTAGAGGAACTCTAAAAAAAGGTTAAATTATAATAACAGTGGTCATATGAGCCATTGGCCACATATTCTAGAACATCAATTAATCAAAATAAACGAAGAAAAATAAGAGGTCATTCTTTTTTCAAATTAAACATTCTGGTTGATGTGGCAAATGGTTCATATGAACATTGTTATCATAATTCAACTTTTTTAATGTTCATCTAAATATGTCCATGACTGTAGTTGAAATCAATAGAAATCAAGGTTTCCTTATTATAATTTATTTTTTTATTTTGTTATTATGATAAGGTGAATTTGAATTTTATTATTTAATAATAACATATCAAATTGAAGGTCATGGCGATAAAGGGCTGCACAGGCTATGAAGCCTCTGTAATAACAAAGGTAAAGTCATATAATGAAAGTTACATACATATTTTTTATTTCTATTTGGTACTAGGCAAACTACATTCAAATTCTGAAAGGATTTTTATTAATATAGAATAGTTTTAACTTTACTACTTACATACTTAGAATTTATTATTATACTACATAACATAGGCCATTACTTACTGTTCAAGGGTGAATATTTAGTAACTTTACAACTACAATGTGAAATTAATTTTTTTTAAATTATGTATAAATTAAATTGAAATGTCATAAACAAATAAATATTATGTTTATTATTTAAATTTATATGAAACATTTTTTAAAAATTCGAACAGTTCGTAATAACTAAAAAAAATTTGTCTGACCTCTTTTGTATAAATAACTAAGATCATCAGATGAGCTACACTTTATTACGACAAATTGAAACTCATAAGTTAATGCTATTAAAGTGCATTGTTTACATCAGCTGGCCTTGAAATATTGATTCTTCAAACAAATTGGACGGGCGATTCGACACAGTCATTACATTAAAGATCTTTCGATAAAAGAGGATGTGGTAATGTTCCTAGTACATTCTTCTAAAGTTACATAGCGATAAGTCACGTACGTGTTTTCCTCGTATAAAGAAGACACAACCGGCGCCTGCAGCCGTAAGTCCCCACGTCAGAAGGGTGCCCAAAAGGGCCTGGGTCACTGCACCGTACCCTGGGATCATTTTATCTCAACACTTTTAAAATAAACAGTTACAATGTTAAGTACTCCATGCAACACATATTTTCACACGTGTTAAGTTTATAATAACTCTGAGGTAATCATTTAAATCTTTTTATACAATCCACATGTTTATCGTCTTAGAATACGTCAAAGAGGTCGCACAACAATAAACGTCAAAAATGAGTGTTGCTATTATAAGTCCACATTAGTCCCAATTTCTTGATTTTTTTTGTGCGAAGTCATGGACTTTACGATTTTTTTTAAATATTGTTTTTGGGGCGTCGGAATAAATAAATCGTGCAAAATGTTCCAAAATGGACTGGACGACAATTTTGCTTTGACATTTCTGAATGTGAAAAGCGTAGTAGGTACGGAAATCGACAAATGTCAGACAAGTTCTGAGCTACAAAGAGCTAGATTTGTGTGTATAATTTTAAAATGTGATAATTTACCTATACCTACAGTTTGTAACTTTGCTTTTTGCAAATAATTGGGCTCATGCCCAGTTATTTTCAACAAAAAAAAATCGGTTCAAATTATAAAATTTTATTTGTTAAAAGTCAACCAACAACACTACTTTATTTTGGCGAGAATACAAATTATAAAATGTAACATATTTTACATTTACTGACAAACAGGGTTGTCAGAAAAATTGGCAATACCGTATAAAAAAATGACGTGGACAGAAAATATTTCGTTCCAAAACAGTGATAACGTTCAAAAATAGAAAATTATTTTCGGCAAACGAGTCTGTCTTCGCACGAACGAGCTCTAGCTCTATCAGAGATTTGATATGCCATGTTAGTGTTATTTTAAGAGTGTTGTATTACAACTAGAGAGTCTTATTTCTTTTGCAATTTATAACGTTTATCATACACTATCTAAAAGGGGGCATTCATTACCTTGCATTGCAGCCCGCCCTGCAGTCCGCCACGTAATGTAGGATTATGAATACAAGCTATCCTGCAAGACTTCATATGTGGGCCATACGCAGGATAGTGTGTGAGCAGCTGCAGTCTGCGCGCAAGCTGCTAAAGCACTCTTCAAAATTATTAATATGAGTCGCGCATTACTAAAACAGTTTCCGTGTATCTGTTTTGGTATCGAACTTCCCCATTGTGTCCCAGTTAAAAAAATAGCACAGCGATAAACTGAATCAAGAAAAGCAAAAAAGCTATAATTAACAATATTTAATAAAAAAAAGTGTTTATTTACGTTCGTACATAATATTTGGACTTGCTTTCAAATTTCTTGCTTTTTAAGTATGTGTGATGTATACATATAGGTATAGATAATCAAATCAATAATGCATTTTTAATCATTATAATTTAAGACAGTTTTAGGACACTATGCCTTTTATTACTGAAACTAATGGAAATTTGTGGTACCCAAAGGTAGGTATCAATTTTTCGACTTTATGATTGTTTACTTGGACCTTTATACAGTTTTGTATAGGTACTACCTACTGCCGCAGATTGTAAGCGTATCAAGTTCCTTTTTTTTTCATCAAATGACACTACTCTTATGGGTGCAGGGTCAAGAGCACGTCAAGCTGGCACTTAAGCTTTATTCAAAGTGGCGGCATGCGCGGGTGCGGGCGCGGGTTCGTGTAAATCAAATGTACGTAGATGATTGTTGCGTTCACAGTGGCCACGCGCGCCGGAGCCTGCCTCGAGTCGGGTGCGCGTGTCCCGCGGATAGATCTATTGGCTCGTTTCGTTCGTACCTTTCACAGTGCTTGCTCTAGCGTCTGTTTGAGAGTTCGACTTGTGGATCTACCTGTTCGTAGTCGCTTCGGCACCGTGAAAGGGAAGACGCCAAGACTCGAGCACCCGAACCGGCCGCCGTGCTCGCGCATGCACTCTGAATGGGCCCTTAAGATTCAACTCTATGCCTTTTACTATAAGAATGAGCCAATGTCCAAAGTTCACAATTCACGAAGATTTCTTTTGGTTTTGCAAATTAAATCTTTAAACATTAATGTTTCACATCTGATACAGTCCACGTAAGTGTTACTTAACCTATGTATTCACCTACTTACTAAATTAGTAGAAGTGTGTAACTACATATACCTTAACAACAGTTGTTAAATCATGCGCACGCACCGATGTTTAAACCTACTCGTAGCAAAATTATATCCTTACACAAACTTTATCGTACTCTATCTTCCAGCAGCAGACGTATGTCACGTCGACACTCGCTAGAGAACTCATAACAATCTTTATTGCCCTTGTTAACTCTTAAGTATTAATTAAATACGTGGGAATTATCTCGTAAAAGTTGAAATTATATACCACCATAAAAAATCATAACTCGGAATTATAAAAATATCTGAATGGTATATAGTAAGACAGGTAATTCAGGCAGCTGCCCCTGAAATCTGAGAATCCGTAATGTAATCCTAAAGTAGAATTAAGGTCGTCGTCTTTAATGAGAATTTATTTTTTACTTCTTTGGTGTTTCATTGTACCTAATTATTAATTTTTGTATTAATTAATACCTCAAGCGCTTCAATATTACAGATTATGATAATATAGTTGGTATGCTTTTATACTCGTACTACATAGGTAGCATATTTGATAAGTCAGTCAAACGTTTTCGTTGTACTCAATAAAAACTTATTAAGAAGAAGTTATACCTACACCTTGGAATTCAGTTTAGAAACGGGTAGGTATACACGAGCGGTTCCAAAAATTTTTAGCTATTTCACTCCTAAGGGGTTATACTGATCTATAACTAAAACACACTGAGGACAATTTTGTTATATATATACAAAAATGGAAACTACCAACTTCTTTTTCTAATTTTTTTGTGACAACGTGTTAGTTTCAGCAGGAACACAAAATTAGATCGTAACCATTACTGGACCACTTTAATATCAGGAAGGTCATTCCGCGTTTGAAAACCCTTCTTCTCACTGAAGAGCAAAAAGATCATACTGTGTGAATTAATGAAGTAGTGGATACTGAAGTTTATCTGTCTCAAGTAGGTATACTAATAACTTCGTGAGGATCGTTCCAGAAGTGACACTCGCAACAATTTTTTTCATCGTTAAGGGTCTATGCACGCTTTAACTAGGTAAGTCAAAGGGCTTCCCTGATTATCCAGATGAGGTTCCCGGCCTCGCACATAGGTATTTTTTTCTGTTTACAGAATTAAAAAAATATGCTAGATCCCACTTTTCCAATTCAATTCAATTTAATTAATTTATTCATCCGTTGTTACAGGTACATGGTATAGATGGTAATAATAATTTTATGGAATCTCTGCAATAAGCCAAAATGGCATAAGCAGTTAATTAAATAACTAAAATGCATTGTCAAACAAAAAGAAAAATAATAATAGTAATATACACACAGTGTAAAAAATGTCTATTAATATATTGGTAGGTCAATGACTAATATTAAATAAGTAATAATTGTCAGCGTTTACCTATTTCAAGGAACTGTCATTTAAATATTCTTCTACGCTGTAGGTAATGTGAACTGTGGCTACAGCCACACCTTGTTGTAACACTTGTCAATTAATTGCTGTGCTTTTTGCTTAGTACATGCTTGAATCGTATTCTACTAAGACTTTTGATTGCGTTTCAGATTTTGATGAATACTTTAGGTGCCATATCAACAACAGCGCATTTTTTCATAAGGCCGTTACATTTTTTTTTACAGTTAGATACAAATAATTCTCTGAACCATATATTTCCTGGTGCGAAGTAAGCGCTCTTGTAATCTTACTTTCTCTGAAATTTCGCTCGAGTTCGTCTTTAGAAATAAAGATGCCTCCAGGATGTACAGACATGGGAAGGTCAAGAAGAGGGTCATGGAAAAAAGTCGGCAACTGTCACTGTACTTAAGGTTGCATATAACTCTGGCACACCGATTTTGGGCTCTAAATATCATAAAAAAAGAGGTACTTCGAACTCTGCGGGATCTAGACGTGAATAAAGCTAGCGGGCCAGATGGAATTTCAGCAATAGTCCTGCGTAAAAGTGCGCCTGAGTTGTCTCCTGTTCTCACACGCCTGTACCGTCTCTCATTTGAGACTGGTGTAGTTCCCAGTTCGTGGAAACGCTTGCAAACGTGCAACCTGTGCCGAAAAAGGGAAGCAGAGCTGATCCTGCCAATTATATACCTATCTCAGTCACTTCCATACTCTGCAAGACTATGGAACTTGTACTCAACAATCGTTTCCTGTCATACCTTGAAGACAACGACCTCCTCAGTGATCGCCAGTACGGATTCCGACGAGGGCGATCTACTGGGGATCTTCTTGTGTATGCCTGTCACGTATGGAGCGAGGCCACAGAAAAGCAAGGCGAAGCAATTGCAGTGTCTTTGGACATATCTAAAGCCTCTGACAGGGTCTGCCACGCAAGCCTTTTAAGTAAGGGTGTCTTATGGGTTTCCCACTGACCTTTGCAATTAGATCTCGGATTTCTTGAGCGAACGTTCGACTCGCGTGGTCTTAGAAGGCTTCTCTTCCGAACATATTTTTTTTCCATTTTTTTATAAGGCACCAATAAAGTACATCATGAATACATTACAATCTAGCCAAATACAAGACTAATAAGTAATTTACATTACACTTAATCTAATAAATAAACAAGTTATACTAAGAATTCACCTACTGGCAATTTTCTTATAACCTTTTAAGGCGAAGACACTTTTATCGTGTAATCTTCTTGTTCAGTGTCATATGACGATAGATAGCTGGAGTTCCTCGGGGCTCTGTACTGTCTGCAACTCTCTGTCTGCCGCATATCAATGATATGTTAATTCCAGGTACCTTTGCTTATACTGATGACAGCACAGTTGTAGATAGGTACTTGACCAATGCAAGGGTCAGCAGAGAGGAAATCCAGAAATTTCGAGAATCCATGGTTAGCCGTTTGGATTTGACGCTCAAGGCAGTCTCCGATTGGGGCGACGCCAATCTTGTCAAATTTAAAGCTACCAAAACGCAGGCGTGTCTGTTCTCCACAAAGAAGTCCCTTTGAGCTGATTCCGACTTTTCGTGATATATCCATACCGATAGCCGACTGTCTCCCGCCACTTGGAATGTACCTGTCGTCCAATTTGAACTTCGGCAGATAATTTGAATCCATGGCAAGAAATGTAGCAAG